AAGTAATTTCTAGAATTAACTTTCAGAAGGGTGCACCCTTAATATGTAATGGAGATACATGTTTACAAAATCTTAGGCTTTTGTGTTAGATATTTTTTACACAACTGTAGCTCCATCTTTAACTGGGCCTTAAATACTAACAAATGTTTCACGGTTTGGTGTTGGAGGCAACTATGTATAGTTTTTCCCTTTTTTTCTTCATATATTTGGTCAAGTTATATAGTTTTTCTTAAGAAATACTGAAATTAATAACACTAGGACTAGGGCCTAAGGAAAAGAATTTGGATTGGTAATTTAAAATCTTTTGCTTATTAGTGAATACAAAATTCAGGACTTGCTTGAAACTCGATGATTTCAATGTTGAGTGATGCTCTTCATTGAAAAATAAAACTATATTTTTTAAAATTTTGTTTGGAAGTTTGAAAGAAAAGAAAAGAAAATAGTTTGAAAGAGAAAGGAAGAGAAGAGAGAGAAGGGGGTTAAACCCCTTATTTATTTGAATGTTTAATATTAAGAGGAGAAGATAATGAAATATTTAATTATATAAATGATATTATTATATTTTATATATTTTTTATTTTTAAAAGTTAAAAAAATAAATATTTTTCTACAAAAATTAATATTTTTATTTTTTATAATTTTTTTAAAAAAATTCTCAATTAAAAAACTAACATTTAAAAAAAATTAAAATCCTAATCGTGAAAGAATACAAGAATAAAAGAGGAAAAACTTTTAGATTGGAAGAACTCAAAAAATTAATGTTAAGAGAGTTTTAAAAAGTTTAAAAAAATCTTCAAACTCTTTTTTTTTAATTAAATAACTCTCAAACAAAGATTAATTCTTTTAATTTTTTTTTTCTTTCCTAAACACAACTTCTAAATATAGTGTAAAAAAAAAGATAGACACTTAAAAATTAAGATTGTAATGAAAAGTTTGAGAGACTTAATTATTTATTAATAAAAACAGATTCAATCTGAGTGGCTGAATTACTTGTTTAGTAATTAATGAGATTAATTTAAAACTAGGTTTAATTGCGCTAGATAATGGAATACCATGATTCATACCAACTATGCGATGGGTGGATACAATTGCATTTAAATGTTATAATAAATGCTAAATCGATGCGGGTTGCTAAATCAACCCTCCAATATGTTTAACGATTATTATTTTTTAATAAATTTTTGTTCTAGTTTTGAATTACAATTGTTATTCACTCTAATTTTTAATTTTATAAAAATTTCACTTTCATGCTTGTCTTTGTAAAAGTCATTCAGTTTAATTTTTTCACTGTATTTTTATTATCACTTTATATAAAAAATTTAAATAAGTTTTATTTTATAAAGTTAAAAAATTAAAGTATAAATTTAATAAGATAAAAAATTAAAGTAATGCTTACGATCGAAGAGACTAAAATAAAATTTTACTTTTTATTTAAAAAAATCATATATTTATTTTTATTTTATTTTGACATTTAGATATTGAATTTAAAACAAATTGAAGTTGAAAATTTTTGATTGAACAGGAGAGAAAATGAAGATTAAGAAATAAATGTTTTAATAATTGGTCAGCAAATTGTCTCGCATGTTAACAGGCCCCAACTCATTTAATTGGGTGGGCTGTGGTGACCAATTTATGAAAGAAAAAGAACACGAAAATACCCATTTTTCTGCTTTCGTCAGTTGTACATAGCTTCTGTTTACACAAGAATCTTCTGTTTCAGAGTTGAGCATTCAGAAAAAGACATTTTCCGTTGTAATCTTTCAAGCAGGTGAAATAAATGAAGTCTAACGTGTGGAGGCCATAATTAAGTTAATTTTCAATTCAAATTTTTGCTATTTTTTCTCCTTTTCTAGTTTTTTTAATATTCAATTATTTTTGCAACTTTATGTTAGGTTACTAATTACGTAAAATCTTTCATAGTTATCAATTTTAAAGTTCAAACCTTTAAAAAAATCTATTATATCATTTCATATTATATGAATAGGTTTGTTGTCTAGAGTCATGTTACTTGACAATTTCAGAATCATTTAATTTTCTTGTTTAAAATAATTTCATTTCTTAGAAATCTTTTTAGCAATAAATTAAAAAAATGTATAACTACATGAAATATAACATATTTTACTGTAACTAAATTGTAAATTTTTAAAGTTGAATCCATCAATTAAATCTTGAATAATTGACTACTAGATTGATTTAAAATTTTCATATCTAATAATGCATGAAAATTGTTGATAGATTAATTTCTATTTTTACAATTGTTTTTCTAACCTTTTCAGGGTGTCACACACGTACATGTTAATATTTTTCTTTTTGTTACTCTTTTTTCTCATGTTGTCTATTTAATGTCCAATTTTGCTACCATAAAAGATAGCTAGTCCTATAGCAACTTGGCAAAACTTTCCTTTAAGATTAGTTACCTATTCCGATGTCTCTTTCACTTTAACTCCCCAATCTCTATTTTTTGTCTTACAATTTCATTGATTTTTGTGTCATTTTCTAAATTTAATCGTTTGTACTCAAATTTAGAAATTTGTAACAAATCTTCCCTAATTTTCATCTTTAAATAGTTTTGAAAGAAACAAAATAGAAAATTTATTTGATTGTCTAAATATCCTTTTATTCCCTTCTTTTTAACTTTTCTCCTCTTCAGCTCACACACACGTAAAGGGACCTAAATCAAATTTCAATTTCTACAACTTCTATCACAATGACTTTAGAAAAGAGAAAACAAAATGGATTGCCAAGATTAAAGATAAAACTCATACAACAGCAACTATTTGGCCAAAAAATCAAAGTAAAGACGATAAATTAACCTAAGGGGAGATGGGTTCTCTTTCAATAAGCTGCTGTATCAATATGAATTATCTTATGCTCCTACTATTGAGTCTATTTCTGTTTAAACTCAGGTTTATATATCCAGCGTCTCTTGTATTGCAAACTCTAATAGTTACTTATTACTTACTTATAATATTGTCATTAATAAAAAGACATATTGTTTCTTATGTTTTCACTTATTTTTCAAATAGAAAAGAGAAATAGAGAGAACAAAAACAACTTCTGCTCCTATTTCTTAGTTCTTACAACCTAAAGAGACAGGACAATTTTGAAAATCAAATATTATAAAATAGTAATCAAAGAAGTTTCAAAATTTTTAAACTTCAGAAAACAGAAAATTGTTTTTTAAAAGTAAAAAACATACACAACCTAAGTATCTTTAGTCTAAAGAGAGTTTTCGATATATTAAAAAATTCTTTAATTTTTTTTATCATACTAATAAAAATTTTTTATCAAATTTCTAGAATTTAAGTGATAATTTGAGAGAATATATATATATATATATATATATATATATGTATATATATAATGTTTGTTTTCAAAACTTAAATTAAGAGTTAACTTCTCTCAAAATTATAGTTATATCCTCCACAGATAACATGCATTAAAGGATAATAATTTATATGTATCTGATAAACATATCTAACACTAAATTAAGTAATGACTCAATATTTAGTATTGATGTAAATTTAATTTTATAAAAAAGTTCTTCAATCGCACCTACGATTTTATAGTCAGTCCCAAGCTTGAACAAAAGAAAAACATTATGCTAAACGCTCAACAGTTAACTTAAAACTTGTGGAACTAATGCATAGAACATTTACATGCAAATTTTCAATTTAAATTTTTAATTTTTCTTAATTAATTTGCAAACAAATATAAATCCTCTGTATTATACATTTTATTTTTATTTAATTTACTACTTAAATTGAGAAAGTTCACCATGTTAAAAATCCCTGAACAGGGCTATTAAGTTTCGCTTACTTCGTTCTAACCAAACATAAATTCCATACCCTCATTCGGTTGATGTGTCTCATTACAAGGTTCCGGTTGTGTTGGTGCATGTTATTCAATTTTTTATGTTTATTTTGAAGTGAAAGTGCGTGTGACGAGATTGTGGCATTGCGTAATGATGATAATTGAGAAAATCGTGATCCCTCTTCGCAATGCAATCTAGCAAGCTAATGTGTATTTATGTACCAAACACGGTAATTTCTGCGTATTACTATTTGTCAAAGATTTTAAAATCCAGTGCAATACGATACATTAATATGACAAATTTTAAAAATATTAAGATACAGGTTCAACAATAAATATTAAGCAAAATATACTATATTTATGTGTACTGTATTGAATATTTTATGATAATATCGAATAAATCTTAATTCAATAACATCTTTCTAAAAAAAAATTCTTTAAAATAAGAAATTAATCTAACAAAATCTATGAAATATTAAAAAATGTCACACTAATAGTTAAATAATATATCATAAGTTATTCTTAAATACAAAATAAATTTTTACAAGTTTTGAAAAATAAGATTAAAATTGTTTCCTTAAAATATATATTTAAATAAGTTTAAAAAGAAATTGGTTGGTTTGTCTTTGGGTAATAATAGTTTTAGATCATCTCAAAATACTCTTTTAAAGATCAAAACCTGCAAGTAAGTGCGATACACAACATATATTAATGTAAATGTATCGCTTTACTTATGTTCCTTTTACAATTTTTTTACAATTAACGTGGGACTGTTTTTAATTTCCATGTTCTTGATATTTGATTTACGGTGGAAACCTAGTTAGGGGTATAAAAGACAATATGGTGAATAAAAGATTTCGCTGGTTCCTTCCTCTTGTCATAATGAGGTAGTATGTTATTACCAACCCCTTCCCCTCTAAACCCTTTAAAAATTTAAACTCTTAAAGTCAACCATTTTCCCATCAAGGCATCAGCAAAATGATTATAACCCCAGTTCAATTTTTAGTTTTCAAGATCTCTTTTGCTCCTGCTCTTCACTTACTACTAAATAAGAAACTTTAATACTACATGTACTCACACAAGTTACTATACATGGAACACACACAATTGTGCTTGTATCATTAGTTTCTATAATATTTCTTAAACTTCATATACACCAAATAAAAGCTACAAAAGATATTATATATAGGAGATTATTTAGTGTGATTTCCAAGGGAAACACTGCAAATTAGAGCAAGACTCTGTCCATGTGCTTGTGCAAGCACCTCCAAGCCCATCGCAACACTTGCAAACTATTCCAAGAGTGGCAAAAATCTTTGAGTACCCTGCAATTTCATCACAATACAATCAGCGACTGTACCACAAAGGCACAAGGACCAAGAAAATATGATCGTGGGAAAGAGTAATTCTGAAGATTTTGTTAACCTTGATTAGATATTAACGAAAGTGCCCTTCCTTCTACAACACAAGGTTTATCTCCAATTGAAGCAATCAGTAGTATTAACAGCCCCAACATAAGAGGCTTGTTCATACCCATATCATGAAACTTTGGTATTGAGCTTCAAAAACCTCTGGGATTAAAGAGCTAGGAGGAGCAAAGAAGAATAGAGAGAGAGAGAGCTTTTAATTATGGCATGGAAAACTCCAAGATTGGGGGTTGCCTAGAAAGTGTTTGGGCAATATATTAACAGAAAATGGAGAGAGACTAATTAATAATTAATGACGATATTAGGGATAGGAATAGTTTTGTGACAAATAATTTAAATATATGTTATCTAGAAGAAAGGGATGGTTTATGGTGTTATTTTTTTGGTTTGGATTGTTTGATATTGGGTAGGGTGGGCTTCTGGAAGAGACACACAGATCGTGCCACACGTTTCCTACTCCGTTACGTCTCCCTGGAGATGACTGAGAAGTTGGATACCACTTTCCTGCCGAAACCTTTTCGATTTTGGTCTAAATTAAAGTTAAGTGGTGGGGCCTTTTTGTTTCTGGGAGTAAACACTAATATTTTAAAATATATATATATATAATATTTTTAATATGTTAACTATCAGAGTCACTGAGCTATGATTTTATTGGTTAAGTTGTGATTGAATTGAAAATAATAATTATATTTTTTATATTATGTAATATACATGTTAAATAATAAATTTAAATAAAATTATGCTAAAATTTAAAGTTAACATGAAAAAATTATATTATATATTTATAAGTTAAAAAATGTTATAAATAGTTAAATTGTAATAATTTATATATAATCATGAGTTTTTATTTATCTTAAAAATATTTTAAAATAAAAATAATGAAAAAAAAATGGTTGAGTCCAATTTTGTGTGTCGGTATTTGCTCAAGCGATTTTCTATCTCATCGTTTTTACCAAAATTTCAAATTGATGACCTTGGTTTTATTATCGGTGAAGTACGTCCTGTATTAGTAAGGTTAATTAAATGTTCAGTTCTTATAAAAATTACATAAATTTATATTTAATTTTTATAAAATGTTTTGTTCAATATATTTTTTTTTAATTAACTATTGTTTTCAGTCATTTTAATTTATGTAGTTGACTAAAAGTTAATACTTGATGATATTTCATTAAATTACATTAATTAAAGGGACTAAAAATAATAATTTATAAAAAATAAAATTATATATCGTAAAAAAATTTATAAAAATTAAGTACCAATTATACCCGCTTTGATAAAGACAAACACTTAATTAAGCATATATGTTTAATAACTATAAATTATAAAACTCTTTGCATCTTAGAAATATTTGCATGTTAGATTTATACATCAAATAATTTTAATAAAAAAGATTAAATTTAATCATAAAGACATGTTATAGTTTAATTTTGATTGATTGGAATAAAGAATTAAATGATTTGATTTAAATATTTTTAATTTAGTTAGCTGGTGATAAATAAATCATTTTCTTAACACTTCTGCACTATTTATGAACACATTAAATATTATAATTTATATTATATATATATATATAATTAAATAAGTATAAGTTAGAAGTTAATTTATAAACGAAATTATAATTACACATAAAAATAGTTTGAGTTGGATAATTTTTAAAATTGAATTAAAAATTCAATCTAGTTAAAAAAATTATTTTAAAAAATCGTTTTGAAGAATTATAAACATTCCTAATACATGCTACTTTTTTTCCATTAACCATTGGCTAGCAGTTAATAAGTGTAATTGATGAGTGAGATGTGTGAAGAAAAGGGTAGAAGTTCTCTTCTACGATAGACGGCGAGAACAACTTCCAGAAAAATTCCACAATGCTGATAGCGTCAAACTGTGTAACCAAAGCAAAACTCCCCGCTGCTGATAGTGTCAACACTCCAACTAATATATGCAACCAAATATGTGAGATTCATTTGGGAATGAACTTAATAGCTTAGGATTAGTTCAACTTCAAGAAAAACTCCACTCTCCAGACACAGTCAAAACTTGAACTAGTGCGTAACCAAGAAAATGAAAAATTTAAGCAACCAAACACTTGAAGATGTGGGGGTATCATTGCCACTACCTTACCTCAACGTTTTCTCTTCAACTGTATAGTACTTAGCCCTTTAAATAGTGGTCATCCAATCTTGGATAATTTTTTTATGCTTATAAACACTGTTCACTTTTGATTTGAAGTTGATACAAGACTAGAAGTAAATCGGTGCAATATATAACTTTATTTTGAAAAATGGTTATAAATTTATTTTAAAAAATTGAAAGATTTTTTCTAGTTAAAAAATAATTAATATAAAGTATTATGCTTTGATAGTTTTGAATAGTATATTCATATATAATATTTAAATAAAAATTATTTTGATTACATAATTTGGTAAAATTAATGTTTGACTTACTTTTCTTAATGCTTTAGATGCTTTAACTTAAAATAAAATAAATAGGAACAAAATCTTTCAGCACCTTTTAATGAATAATGATTTTATAATTAATTAAGAAATTATTAATTACCTAACTCAAACTTAAATGAAAAATCTGAAACATTATACGTTGAAAAGATTAGTGAAATATTTTCTTTGAATGTAGTAGTAAATAATTTGATTCGCAGAGTAGCATGGATTTATCTAAAGACAATAAATATATTAATGTAGTATTGTAATTTGCATGTTACAACGATACATGTTGGTAGAGTTTCTAATTATTAAAAAATTTGAACATTTGTGATTTTTTTTATAATGTTGTTTACCTGCTTATAATTTTGTTTCTCTTGGTTGATTTATTTTGGAAAAAAAGCCGCGTTGAAAAAGTGCATTTATTGACATCTCTTTTATAAAAGGAACTTAAGATTAATTTTTTTATTGTTAGTTATATTTTGTATATATCGATCTTTTATACATTGTACTTTTTTACCTTAATATAAATAATATTCAATTAGAATATATCTTTCTTTTCTTTTTTTATCTTTATCTCATCTTCTCTTACTCATTCATTACTATTCTTTGATTCTTTTATGGTATCCTGAGCTAACGATTTTGACATCAATGGTGACTACTCAAAACCCTAACCTCAATCATACAATGGTTCCTATTTCCATCAAATTGGATGATGAAAACTTCCTCACATGGAAGATGCAACCCTCAGAACCATCCAATTGTTCAAATTGCAAAAATTTCTTGATCAATCTTCACGTGGAGGCATGCCAAAAAAATACAAAATTGACAAAGATAAAGCCGCGGATATAGTTATGGATGAATATGAGACTTGGGATCAACAAGATCAAATGATCTTTACATGGCTTCTTGCATCAATGTCCCCTAGTTTGCATCCTAGGATGGTTGGTTGTGATCATTCTTTTCAAATATGGTGCACTATCCAAGTTTATTTCGAGTCACAAACTCGAGCGAAGGTATCGCAATTGAAAGCTCAGTTGAAAAGTATAAAAAAATCTAACTCTCTTAATTTGTATCTGTTATCGATTAAGAAAATTGTAGATACCCTTGCCTCTGTTGGATCGCCAATTGATATGTCAGAACATATCTCCATTATTCTTTATGGTTTACCCTTTGAGTATAGCCCTCTTGTGACCTATATAATTTCAAGAACCGATCCATATACGGTCACTGAAATAGAAACCCTTCTTTCCATTCTTGACAATAGTCTTGAATGTCAAAAGAAGGAAGAATAAGACAACTTTTGATGCAAAACATGCAAGTTAATCTTGCACAAATTCAAGGAAGATTTGGAAGGCATCAGTCTAGAAGGTTCTCTAGTAGAGGGAATACCAATTTTCATGGACACAATATTAGAGACAGGGGTAGAAGTTTTGGTCGTGGCAATGGAGGAAGAGGATCCAACAAACCTCGGTGTCAAGTTTGTGGTAAACCTAGTCACACAGCCTTAACTTGTTACCATAGGTTTAATCCCAGCTATCAAGATAACTCTTCTTCAAATCAACAATCTTACTGTTTTGAAAGCCAACCTACTACTATGGTTTTAGAAAGTGCCTTTGATGGTTAGTTAAGTGTTTCTGCTTCATGACTATCCCAAAAATATTGTATGATCCCTTGTAGTACCCGGATACAGGTGCAACCCATCATATCACACCTGACTCCTCAAATCTTATGGGTAAAGCTCCTTATACAGGAGACACCAAACTCAAGATGCCAAATGGTGATACTTCTTCCATAAAAAGTATTGGTAAATCTTTCTTTTTTTCTCCCAAATCTTTGTCACATTTTTTTCTTCATAATCTGTTACATGTTCCTAATATTACTAAAAATCTTTTAAGTGTATCACAGTTTGCAAAAGAAAATAATATCATTTTTGAATTTGGTGCTAACTCTTATTGTGTGAAATCTCAAGACACTAGAAATGTTCTTCTAGAAGGCAAGTTAAGGGATGGTCTTTATGCCTTTGATGACATTCATATGCAGACCTTTTCTTCTATTGCTGATTCTATAAGTAATTTTGTTTCATATTGTAAATCTAAAGAAAATAATACTTTGACACGTGATAATTCTATAATTAGGCCTTATTTTACAGCCTATATATTCATATTTGACCTTTATTTTATTTGGGTTTTACACTAATTTATATATTAATTGTGTAGTTTGGTATAAAGTGGCCGCAAGTGGATTTTGGATGCATTTTAGGCTAAAATTGATAGAAGATTAGAGCTTCGTAGCAACCAGCACGTCCAGACCCTTCCAACAAGAACGGGGGTGCTTTAAGCCCATGCACGGTCGTGCTTAAGGCCTTGCACGACCGTGCTCATCTGCAGAAAGCCCAATTATGAAGAGTTTTTAGGGTTTTCAAACCATATTAAAAGGAAGACCCGAGGCACCATTAGGAAGACCGTTTTGACATCTTGGCTTTTGCTTTGAGATACATCTCTCATCTCGTCTCTCTTGCACGAGATCCTTGGCACATGCTTGGCGACACTTGGAGCTTCAAGCGATCATACTTGAAGACCGGGACACATCTCATATTCTAGTTTGCTATTTCTTTTGATTATGGCTTTGTTTATGATTGTTTTAGTTCTTTTCTTTAGCATGAGTAACTAAGTCTATAGCTAGGGCTATGGGAACTATTGTTCATGAATTTATGGAATTTTGATGTTTGAATCTAAATTTGATTTCCGTTTCATGATTAGATTTTATCCTATTGCAATTCTCT